ACCGGCTGTTGCACGCCTACCACGCCCGCCAAGTATTCAGCGTTTTGCCTGTTCGGCGATGGACTCCGATGACGAGGAGGTGTTCGCGGTGCTACTAGAGGAGGAAGCCAAGGCGGACACCCAGGACGAAGAGCACCTCATGGTCCTCGTCGTCCTGGCCGGCATGTTCGCGGGCAATGCAAAGCCGCGGCGAGGTGGCTCGATGCCAGGCCATCGTAAGAGCAAGCAGAGGCGTCGACTGGAGGGCTATTGCTTGCTCTACGCCGACTACTTCGGCAATGCTCCACTGCACGGCGAGAAAGTATTTCGGCGCCGTTATCGGATGAGCCAAAAGCTCTTCCTCGGGATTGTGAATTCCATCCGGGAGTTCGACAACTACTTCATTTGCAAGAAGGATATTGCACCGGCACACATGGATTCACCTCACTCCAGAAGTGCACGACAGATATGAGGATGCTTGCATACGGAGCTCTCGGTGATATACTGGAAGACTATATATGGACTCATGGCTGAGTCCACCACCATTGAGTGTTTATACAAATTCTGCAGGGCAATGGTGGCAGTGTTTGGACCATAGTACTTGCGTTCACCCAATGCTGAAGACACTGCTCGGATCCTAGCACAAGATGCAACAAGAGGATTTCCTTGGATTCTTGGAAGCATCGACTGCATGCATTGGGCATGGAATAACTGTCCATTTGCTTGGCAGGGGATGTACAAAGGCGCCAAAGGAGCTTGCAGTGTGGTACTTGAGGCAGTGGCCACATAGGACCTCCGGATTTGGCACTCTCCTTTGGTATGGCAGGAACTCACAATGACATCAACATTTGCAGTGCTCGAATGTCTTTGCCAAGCTTGTTGAAGGTCATGCTCCTCCGGTGAACTTCGAGGTCGACGAGCGCACTACAACAAGGGATACTACCTAGCAGATGTGCCATCCGAGATGGTCCACATTTGTGAAGACTATCTCAAACCCTGTGCCAGGAGGCAAGAACTCCTACTTTGTCAAGTGCCAGGAGGCTTGCAAAGAAGGATGTCAAGCGGACATTTGGTGTGCTCCAATCTCGATTTGCTGTTGTTCGATACCCCGCTCTGACCTGGTCGAAAGATCAAATGTGGGAAGTCATGACTTGCTGTGTCATCTTGCACACCATGATCATTGAGAGCGAGCAGGAAGAGCCAGTGTTCGACACCGAACCATATTACAGGCAGGGTCCTCTTGGCCAAGTTGATCACCAGCTACCGGCATCATGGGCTGCCTTCCTCAATGTGCGTCAAGAGATCCGAGACCCACAGGTGCATCAAGAACTGCAGCATGATCTGGTGGAGCACCTATGGAAGCTCAAGGGCAACGCCTAGTTTAACGTGTGATGAACTATGAGTTTTAATTTGTGTTTGAACTATGAGTTTGCTTCGTTGAACTATTTGATTTGTATTGATTTCTGTGATGAGCTATGTGATAAAAATTAGTTTATGTTGAATTTGTGTTGATGAACGCTGTATTTAGGCCAATTTGCACCGAATTTGGGTCGAAATCGGCGGCTGGGGGGGGGGGGGCGAACTTTGGGGGTCGGCTGGGAACCCGAGCCCCCCACGTCGAAATTAGCACCGGTTGGCCCCCAAGCGGCGATTCTTCACGTCCCTGGGGGGCCAAATGACTAGAGATGCTCTCACATGTTCAAAGAAATTATGAGATAGCATTGTGGTGACCAAGACTGGTACCTCCACTCTCCGACTTGCTCAATATGAAATTGCCAAAGGAGCATTGCAATAACTTTTTTACGGAGAAGGGTGAATCCCAAGCATCTTCCTGATCGTCTCATGACTCTCGCCGCCGACATGAGTCCTATGATTATGAAAAGACCAGATGGATTCAACTTGACCAAGCAATTTCTTGTAGATAAATTGGTAAATGCTCTTGCTCCCTATCATATCCACATACCAATTATTTGAAGAATCCAAGGCTAATGCTACAAAACATCTTGCCATGCATGGTACATCAACTCCTAAGACCAATCTTACCTTGAAGGCCAAATATGTGTGTGATGAAGAATGAAGTGAAGAAGTAGATGATGAAGAAGAAAGTGATAAGATTGACTCAGATGAGAGCCCATCATACGAAGGCATTGCTATCTTTGTCAAGAAGTTCAGCGTAGGAAAATTCAAGGGAAGATTCCAAAAGAAGAAATACGTACGTTCGTTTCCAAACGTGTATGTGTTGCATGGATATGAGGTGCCGAATTTGAGAAACACATATGTAGACGCAGCAAAATTAGGCGTTTGAGTAGCCATATTTGTCCTATGCGGCTGTATATGCTCTCACACTGCCTGTAGCGTTAACGCCGGAGGGACGTCTCATCCCCACATGGACCCACACACCACCCTGCTACCTTAGAGCATCTACACCCGGGCGCCCCAAACCGGCCTCAAACGCCCGGGTGGCCCGCTCGGTCACTGACCGGTCACGATTTTTCGACCCAGACGGATGCCTCAAACAGGTCTCAAACTCTGGACTGACTGGCACCCCTCATATCCAGCCCAAATATGAGGCGGATATGGGGCGCTCGGGCGCACCTGTGCACGCCCACCACACTAGACTGACGACGGGGTCCAATGCGGAAATGCCCAAAAACCCGACGGTCCGAAGCACGTCTCCTCCATCGGACCGACATCATCACGTGGCGCCGCTCCGGCGGGCCGCATACTGCCTAGCCCGGCTATTTAAGTTGACCAGCGGCACCGAAGCCCTACCATCCATCCACATTTTCCTCTATCTGCCTATCGCCGTCGTCGTCACTTTCTACTCCACCCGTCCGCCTAGTAGCCATACCCCCATGCCGCCGGGTGAGGAACGAGCCATTTCTGACGCCGGAGCGCCGACTCGAGCTCCTTGAGCATATCCGACCAAGGCGCGAAGCCAGGATAACCGCGGGGCTACCTCCGGATGCAGTGGATCCGGAGGAGGAGTTGGAGGAGGAGGAGGAGGTTGAGGAGGAGGAGGAGGAGGATGAGCTAGAGGAGGATGCGGGAGACACTGGCGACGCAGATCTGTAGGCGGAGCAGCAAACCATCCTCGATTTCCTCTGGCCAGAGTCAGCTGTGCAGGCCAGACGTCGTCTCCGGCATGAGATGGAGGCGCAGTACACCGCGGAGGAGGCGAAGATGCTCACCTACATGGATGAGGTTGAGTAGGAGGAGGATAAGCCGGAGCCCTCCTACCCGCCCGTCCAGCCGGCACCCGACACCGTCGTCATGGACATCTCTGACGACGGAGAGTAGTTAGGGTAGTACGTAGTACTCCCTCCGGTCCTTAGTTCACATATAAAATTTGTCTGGAGTCAAACCTTGTAAACTTTGACCAAGTTCATAGAAAAAAATTACCAACATTCAAAATGTGAAATTAACAACATTAGATGTTTCATGACTTTAGTTTTCATATTGTAGATGTTAATATTTTTATAAAGTTTGACTTCAAACAATTCTTATATGCAGAGTAAAAAGGACCGGAGGGAGTATGTAATACATGGAATTTCTTTTGCATGCTTTGTATGGATTTAGGGGTTGAAATATGAGAGAGTCGGATGCAGAGTGGCTAATTTGAGGTGTGACCAGTCACTGTCCTTGGACGCGCCTGGTCGCGTCCGCGGGCGTTTGAGGGGCCGGATTTGTAAAGTCGGGTTGTAGATGCTCAACAGCCGCGCGAAATATCCGGTGTGCTGGATAAACCACTAGTTTGGCACGCGAGAGGTCACGCGGCGCGCTCCAGTAGGCGCGCGAAAAGAATTGGCGCATGCAGGAAAAAGCAGCAGTGCGCGCGGTAGTTCCAGCCTCCAGTGCGCTGGTGAAAAGCCGCGCCCCTGCGCCCGACAACCGCCACGATTTCCTCCCGCCGCGCCTTCTTCCCTGCCTCTTCCAGCGCCCCGCCACCGTCGCGCCCTCTCGCGCTGCCTCTTCCAGCACCCCACCATGCCGCCGCGCCCCCGGAGCGGCTCGAGCTACCGCGGCGTCCGTCTTCGCCCCTCTGGCATGTATTACGCGGTTCCGGAGATACACGCCTCGGGCTTGGAACATTCGAGAGCACCCACGAGGCCGCCCACGCGTACGACGCTGCGGCGTGGCGCCTCGGGTGGCCTCGATCGCAGATGAACTCCTCTGACAAGTGGACGCGCGAGCAGACGCGGGATCTCGCGCCTCCCCCGCGACTAATCAACGACGAGGATCGCCGCCTCCTCATAGCGGAGGCGGACGAGCACAGAGGGCGGTGCGGCGTGAGCACTTCCCACAGGATGTCACCGCCGAGAACGAGTTCTGGATGCAAAGGAGGGCGGAGCGAGCCGTGCATCGAACGGACAAGCATGTGCGGAAGGAACTGGCGGAAGCCTAGATCGAGCTGGGACCTACGTCGACCTGGGACGATGAAGATCCTCGGTCGCTCGACGCGATCTATTTTTATTTAGCGTCCTTTTATCTATTTTTATTTAGCATAGTATGAACTTGCTTGTGGTATGGAGCTTGAACTGTGCTATGAATTATATGTTGTTTCATATTTGTTTGTACGTGATTTTTCTCAAGCATCAGCTGGTCGCGAGCGCTGGTTTTTACCACGTCTTAACGCTATAGAGCACGCTAAATTTTGCAGCGTCAGGTAAAGCAACCACCCTCTCGCTGCACGCGCTAAAACGCTAGTATTTCGGAGCAACAAATTTGTTTTAGTGCGAGATGCTCTTATCCTCTTCACCGCGACTGCTGGGTGCTGGGCTGCTGGCCCCACAGCACATCCCGTCCCTTTTCTTCCTGCCGTGCCCACGACGCTGCTCCTGCCTATCTACTTTTATCAGACGCCATTGCTGCAGCAGGTGCTGCACGGGGCGCCTTCCTCCCCACGAAGCCGCGTTGTTGTGGAGCTGCTGCTGTTGCACAGGATGCCATCGCTATGGAGCTGCTGCAATGGGGAAAGGTGCAAGCCATGAACTAACTGCAACTCTTGAACGAAGACCACCATGGAGCAGGCGAGGACGACCAAGACGCAGAGGACGGAAGACGAGGAACACGAGGGTGGCGGGATGCAGCGAGTCCCGGAGGAATGCCTGGCGATGGCCATTGGCCTGACCTCACCGGCCGACGCTTGCCGCGCCGCCGCGGTGTCCGCGGCCTTTCGGTCAGCGGCGGACTCCGACGCCGTGTGGGAGCGGTTCCTGCCGCCCGACTGCGACGCCATCCTGGAGCGGGCCGTCCACCTCGTAGACTCCTCCTCCAAGAAGGAGCTCTTCATGGACCTCAGTGACGAACATGTCCTCCTCGACGATGGCAAAAGGGTGAGTGAGTGCTAGATTTCCTCGCGACAAAAAGATCATCGATTTGTTCAATCTGTTTCTCTGATGAAGTAGAGTACCGATCGATCGGACATATGCATGCATGGCTTCTAATTTATGACCTGGTTAATGTTCGTTAGAGTTTTGGGCTCCAGCGATCGACTGGCGCCAAATGCTACATGCTATCTGTGAGCGACATGGGAATCGCTTGGGGTCATACAGATCTTTACTGGAGAGAGTTGTCGGACCCAGATGCACGGTAATTAATTCCCATATACTATACCATGGGGGATTTGATCATTTGCCCCCACTTTACGTTGCACTTTGATAGTACTGTACTACCTCTCATACATATCTCGGAAATTGCATTACTTGTACAAGGTTAATTGCCTTGTGTTCCTTTAATTAAATTTGTTCGACGATTAAGCTTAGGTCCAAGGTGGCAGAGCTCGTGTCAGTGTGCTGGCTGGGCTTGTCTGGCCGAATCAGCAGTAAGGAGCTCTCACCAGGCACCCACTACGCAGGCTACCTCGTCTTCAAGCTCACACACGACGCCCACGGCCTGAGCGCCCCGCGCCAGGTTTCATATGTTGAGGTAGACGGCCAGGTGGTGGCGGGGAGCGTCCGCACGCCGTCTTTCCATCCCTGCAACCGTGCCGCTGCTTCCTGCGGCGAGGCCGGAGAGCCGCACGAGCACGCGGAGGAGGACGGCGTAGGGGGCGTCAGGAGGTACCCAAGGCAACGGGACGACGGGTGGCTGGAGCTGGTGATCGGCGATTACCACACAGGCACAGGTGATGATGATGTAGGAGCAGATATTAAGATGGAACTGCATGAGTGGGAGGAGCTCAAGTGGAAGAAGGGGCTCATCATCCAGGGAACCGAGTTCAGGCCTAAACAAACTTAGTTCATTTATCATATGGTAATCAAATCTCCACCGTGTGGAATGGAGTAGCTTCTTATCTTACACTAAAGAAATAATTTGGGTCAGTCTAAATGTCCAGCGAGCAATATATTTGATAGCCCTTCAGACGTTAACTGTCATGTATTTCTGTTTCTGCTTGTAGTTGTTTTTGAATAAAGAATATATTACATCCGGAAGAATTGACCATCTTTGACCAATTATTTGGGGCTGTAGTATGAGGTTGCTTATGTATCATTACAATTGTCTTTGTGCAATTATTAGGCTTGCACAGGGTTTTCAAAATGCAAGTTAATCCGCCACAAACACAATATAATTGCTGGCTTACTTGTGTTGTTCCTGTGGTTAGTATGCAACATGCAGATGTCACCGTTTTCATTTTTTATGCCTCTACTACTGATCATGCTAGGAACTTGAAGTGAATCTTGTCAGCAGCCCAATCATCGCCACCGAAGAGGAGGCTCTTCAGGAAGATGCGCGGGAAGAGGCCAACTCAAGCACTGGGCCAGCAGGCCGGCCCATCCGCAGCAAGAAGGTTCCCCAGTGGCTTGCAAGCCCAAACTGGGCCAGCTAAGCGGGTGTAACGGTAGCTAGCGTTTAAATACGGCGATCGACTCCAGCAGAGGACAGGAAGGAAGAGGAGGCTTTGGCCTGGAGAGTGTGGCGTGTGCGATTTGTAATCTGAATAGCTGTGTGGGTGGTTGGGAGGACAGCTAAACCAAATTCGAATCTAGATCTCGTTCATGGAGGTAGTGGGTTCCTCACATCTAGTATCAGATCTTTTTGATCATGGAGATTCCTAGCCACATCCACGCCACGCGTTTCAAGCTCCAGCAGCGGAGCGCTGCCATGGACAAGCTGTCGTCCGAGGGGCGGCAGATCCAGGAGCTGCTGCGTGCGGACTTCGCCGAGGTGCTGGATCGATGTTTCAAGGCGCACGTCGAGGAGATCATCAAGTCCGTCGGCACCATCTCAAGGAGACGACAACGGCGCTCGACGGCCTCATCACGGCGCGAATCGACGGCGCCAGGTCCGAATTCAACCTCGACGTCGAGCAAATTCATGCGGATCTCGAGCGCTGCGGCAAGGAGGACGTCCCGTGCAAGCAGACGAGCCCGTCGACCAGCAAGGAAGTTGGGGGCCACCGCGATTCGACAGCGGCTGATCCCCTTGGCTTCGACAAATTTCACCGGGGGAAAGCACATCAGGTCTATGTGCCTCCTCCGGTCAGAGGTGCGCGCGAGTCCGTTTCTCCCCGTGAAAATTTTTCCCCTCGCGAATTTGTTGTTCCAGACGTTTCTGACATGTACCAATCTGCTCCCCGTGTGGAACTTCCGCGTTTCGATGGTTCAAATCCGCGACTGTGGCAATCGCACTGCAAGGATTGTTTCAAGCTATGGGGCACCCCAGCAGCAAGGCGGATTTCCTACGCCCCGTCCCAGTTTGACGGTGCGGCAGCCAGATGGCTCGAGGCAGTACAACGCAGATCGCCAAACTTGTCCTGGCCAGAGTTTTGTCAGTTACTGTTGAACAGATTTGGTCGCAATCAGCATCAGACTCTGGTGAGACAGATGTTCAGAATTGCTCAGGAATCGTCAGTTTCAGATTATGTGGAACGATTTGCGGAACTGTATGACCAGCTTTCAGCTTATGAGGATGTTCCAGACAGTTTGTACTATACCACTCGTTTCATTGATGGCCTCAAGCCGGGTGTAAGGATGTCAGTTGCATTGCAGAAACCCCAGGATTTAGATACAGCTTATGACATAGCTTTGCTCCATGAAGAATTAAGTGAAACAAACTCCTCTCAGTTTCAGTTCAAGAAGGCAATGACAACTGCTTCAGTTGTTCCAAGAGCTTCAGTTGCTGTTGACAGGAGGCCAGTCGAGAACAACAAGAGTGGTTCTTCAGAAGATAAGTGGAGCACCTTGCGCACCTACAGGAAATCAAAAGGATTATGTTTCACTTGTGGAGAGAAGTGGTCCAGGGACCATCAGTGCAAATCTTCTGTTCAACTCCATATAGTGCAGGAGATGATTGAACACATCCAAAACACAGCTTCATTCTGTCAGGAGTCGTCTGATAGTGACTCTGACAATCTGATGTTACTGTCAGCAGCAGCATGTTCAGCTGAGTCGTCCCCATTAACAATGAAACTTCAAGTTACTGTTTGTGGCCAGGTTCTCACATTTCTGGTGGACTCGGGCAGCACCCATTCCTTCCTCAACTCTTTTCTGGCTGCATTGTTGCAAGATGTGCAAGAGGTTCGACCTATAACAGTCACAGTAGCAGGGGGTGCTAAGCTGTACTGCTCCCAAATTGTAAAGCAATGTAGTTGGTCTTGTCAGAGCAATGAATTCAAATAAGAGTTCAGACTCCTGCAGTTAGGTAACTATGATGGAATTTTGGGACTCGACTGGCTGGCGAACCATAGTCCAATGGTCATAGATTGGGATCAAAAGTGGTTTTCATTTCAGTCCCAAGGAAAATGGATTACATTAATTACATGGTGTGTTACCTGATGACTGCAAGTTTACAGTTATGAGCGTTGAACTGATTGAACCAGAAGATAAGGAAAACAGTTCTCACATTCCTGAAGTACAAGCTCTGTTGGAAAAATTCTCTTCTGTTTTTGAGGAACCAAAGGGACTGCCACCTAGGAGACAGTATGATCATACAATTCCATTAATACCAGGTGCAACACCAGTACCTCCCCACTTAAAAACAGAGATGGAAAAACAAGTTAAGGAATTGCTCAAAAATGGAATGATCAGACTCAGTCGAAGTCCTTTCTCATCCCCTGTATTGATGGTCAAGAAGAAGGATGGCACCTGGCACATGGTAGTTGACTACAGGCACTTAAATGCTATAACAGTAAAAGGAAAATATCCTATACCTGTGATAGATGAACTGCTGGATGAATTGCATGGTGCTTGTTGGTTCACTAAACTGGATTTAAGGGCAGGTTATCATCAAATCAGGATGGCCCCAGGAGAAGAGTTTAAAACTGCATTTCAAACTCATGAAGGTCATTATGAGTTCTTGGTTATGGGTTTTGGGTTATCTGAAGCTCCTGGTACTTTCCAGGGTGCAATGAATTCTGATCTACCTGCACTCAGGGAATTTGTTCTGGTATTCTTCGATGATATCCCGATTTTCAGTAAAACCTTGGAAGAACATTTGTTACATGTGAAAAAAGTCCTCAGTACCTTGCAAGAAAAGTAGTGAAAGTCCTCAGTATCTAGATCTCGTTCATGGAGGTAGTGGGTTCCTCACAAATCTTTTCTTGTTTTGAGAAGTTATCTGGTACGAATTAATTTCCATCAAAGTGATCTACATACTATCCATGTGGAGGATGACATCGTTAGTTCTTTTGCTCAGATCTTTTGCTGTCATATTGGTTCCTTTCCTTTCAAATATTTGGTTGTCCCCCTGTATTTCAAAAATAAAAATAAAATGGGAAGGGAGGATCTTCAACATTATTGATACAATTATTAAGAATATATCTGGTTGGCTTAGGGGAAGCTAATCCTGCTTACTATTTGTATTGCCAGTATTCCCACTTATCTCATATCCATGGTTAAATTTCCTAAATGTGCCATTGAAGTCGTTACTTCTCAAATGGCTCATTTCTTCTCGGCCAACATTGTAGAGGATCATAAGTACCATCTTGCTCGCCTCATGTTTGGGGGTTTGTTTCTGCTTGTAGAGGATCATATTGGGCTTGTTCTAGAAAAAAGGAATTTGGGGGTTTGGGGGTCCCTAGTCTTAGGGATTTTAACATGGCCTTGCTTGCCTCTTGGAGTAAAAGCTTCTTTTTTTGGCGGGTGGAGTAAAAGGTTCTTTGACAGTCATCCCAGTGATTGGAAGAAACTTTTAAGTTTTAAATACAACAATGATAAACCTAATATTCTTTGGGATAGACCTCGTGTGGGATCTCCTTTCTGGAAAGAAATCTCCTGGGCTTTCTCAGTTGCTAGACCTATTTATAGATGGAAAATTGGCAATGAGTAAAGTGTTGCCTTCTCACATGATGTCCGGGTGGGTGAGTGTTCACTCAAGACTAAATTTTGGGAATTGATTGTAATTTCTCAGCACAAAAATGCTACACTTGCGCAGGTTTGGGATGGTTCATAACTAGTTATCTTTTAGAAGATGTGTTCATTAACAAATTCTTGTTAGTCGGGGTAAGTTGCTTTTTCTGATGAAATCAGTTGTGTTCTCTATTGAAGCTATTGTACCTGTTTGGCCACTTGAACCTTATGGCTTATATTCTGTTAAATCCTTTTACAAGCTTATCAATTTTTGTGGGGTTTCTTCCAATCTCAGAGATCCTATTTGGAAAATTAAAACATCAGTTGCCGCATGCGGCACCTATTCCGACCAAATCCGTCCATCTCCTCCCTATGCCATTATTGATGGTTGATGATGATGCTTGTTGTGGTTATTATGTGGATCATTATTCCCCATTGGAGAGCCTTTGTATAAAATAACACAATGATGCAGCTCTAGTAGGTGCTTCCTCCGTTCGGGGTTATTAGACCTCTTCCAATGCGAAGGTGCTTACATGAGGTGCTAAGTGCATTAAATAGCTTAGCAACTCAACTCCACAATGGATATGTGCTTAACTTGTTTCTAAGCTTACTTTATTTAATAATTTAGCACCTAAACTCTTCCATGCAGTGGTCAACTTCTTTCATTTAAGTGGTTTGCCTAAATTCACGCGCTTGGTATTGGTTCTTCCTCAGGTCACCAAAGTGCTCACTCTCCTCCTTAATTATTGTGCCATGTCATTTTTTTTCTTATGTGGCATGCTTAGCACCTGTCCACCGTGGAGCACTGGGAAGATCCTTAGAGCAAGTATAATAGGATGACATAGGCGGGTTGTAAGACTTTAAGTATTATATTTTTTTATGATATGGTGGAGAGAGAAGAGGAGAGAGAAGAGAAGCGGACTATTGATAAACAGCCGGCTGTAGCACGCG